CACAGTACAGCTCCATATGATTTACTTTTAATACTTTAAACTATACACTAACAAAATCTAAAAGTTTAGCTGCCAAAAAGCAGCCAGTGCTAAATGGCAAACACCATTCCTGTAAAAAAAAAAAGATTACTTAGCTCACAAAATGGAGTAAAATTAAGAATGTAATAGGGTAAAAGGCCACATAATTTATTTGAATAGCATAAACACTTCAAGTGACATAGCACTAAAAACATTTTAGTAAAATGTGTCCGCACAGATGAGCAAAACTAATCAAAATAAAGAAAATAACATGACCTGTACCTGCTGCCTTTAAGAACACAAATAATGCAGTAGTTAGGTAATGAAAATAATAAATAGTAAACAAATTTTTTTCTTCAAATCTTTCATGTCGCGTTTTGCTTTTGAATTAAACCACTCATCTCTTTGTTAACTAAATAACAAAATAATTTTATTCTATATTTATTTTGGACCAAAGTAGAAACAATAAAAAATACATATATCTTGGAGTGTGAATAAGAGTAATTCTGAAATATCTGTGAAAACTCGGTCCTGATACTTTCTCCTTGCAATAAGTTATAATCTGTCCTTACCTGAGAAAAGCCTGCATCATGTAGCTAGTCCCTGCTGCTGAATCAGATGTCTCCACCCTGACTTTGCTCTTTTTATGGTGGGAATAAAGATTTATTTTGTATATGTGGAAAGCAAGCCAGCACAACTTCTGCATAGAAATAAAAAAGGATTGGGTTTATTTATCCATAACACTAACTAACTAACTAACTAACTAACTAACTAACTAACTAACTAACTTACAAGGATGTAAAAAGTAATAACTGTAATAACTGTCTAATCTTGTTAACTAGCTAAACATGATATATTAACTAACTAACTAACTAACTAACTAACTAACTAACTAACAAGGATGTAAAAAGTAATAACTGTCTAATCTTGTTAACTAGCTAAACATGATATATTTGGATCATTTAGTCAGTGGTGGGATGTAACTAAGTACAAGTACTTTCTTGCTGTACTTAAGTACATTTTTCATGTATCTGTACTTTACTTAAGTAGATTTCATCATGGGTTCTTTTGACTTTTACTCCACTACATTTTACATTAAGTATCTGTACTTTCTACTCCACTACATTTCTGTAATGCGTTGAATTACAAAGTACATTCATGTCACGTCAATTTTTATTTTATTTTATTTTATTTATGGTTTATTTGATTTTTTTATTTTTGTTAGAAAATAATCAGTGGCGAGAGGGGGAATTGCTGTAATTGGTCCTTTGAACAAAGCAGGAAAGCACTTCCCTCCTTCATAAAAAAGCAGAGCATCAGCATGCCCACAATGGTTTCCACCACGGAGGAAATGTGCCTTTCATGGCCTTTTTTAAATGGTTCAAAAAAATGACTTGTTGAGATTTGATAGAGGTTGGTGGTGAATTTACATCATCTGCAGCTGTTGTCACAATATGTGATGAAGCACAGAATCACAAGTCCAAGTGTGAACAGTGTCACAGAGTGTAAACACAAAACTATGCATTGTCTGCAACATTGTTCACTAAAATGGCACCATTGATGTATTAAAATATAAATACAGTAGACACACTTCATGATATTGTAGACAAGGGGTGTCCAACCTTTTTTGAACCAGGAGCTACTTTTGAAGTCAGCAGTTTGCAGAGAGCTACTTGTCCAATCTCAGTTTCAAAAAACATAATTTTTCGTCTCCCTACTCCTCACTTCTTTAAAGTAAATAAAACAGAAGGTAATTGTTGCTAGTTTTATTTTATTTAAAGTATTGTAAAACAAAACTATCTACTTAACCATATATTTACCTACAAAAAAAAGAAAAGACAAAATCCTTACTTAACTCCTGACAGAGAAACAGAAAAGTGATGCTCGAACAAAAAGGATCAATTTTTTTTACCTCCTTCAATTAGTACTCCCTGTAACGTGCGAGCTATATGGGCTGGAAACCTGCACACTGAGAACCACAGACTTAAATAACTTTGGAGCACGGGAACTTGTCTCCATTTATTCAAAGAACTCTCCTCTCTTTCTCTCCATACAGGAGAGGATAAACAAAACATAAAACTAAAGTCAAAGCACACAATAAAAATCTCTCTTGTTTATGCTATTACAAAAAATGACTTAYGATGGTGCAGATTCACAAATCTCCAACACTATTTTAAACCTCCATCTCTGTGCAGCATGCAGGATGGTGTCATCTGTAGGTGCTGGCCTTCACTGGTCCAGACTGCCAGCTCCAGACCATTCAAAGAGTTCCACCTATGAAACAAGACACACACACACAGCCACATTAGGTACAGAAAATGAAGGGCACACCCAAACTGCAAAATAAATAGATAAATAAATAACACAAAGGTGCCAGTCAGTGTATAACACACTAGTCTGATCTAAAATGTGATAAAAAACAACATACAGACTCATTGTGACAAGTCTAGAGGAGACAATTTTTTAAGCAAGAAGCTATATAAAAATAAATGTATCTCTACCTTAGTGGGACTTCTGACACTGCCCAGGGTCTCATAGGTGGGCAGTATGAGGTGGTTCAGGTGTAAGCAGATCTCCAGATGATCACCAGTCTTTGTGGATCTGTTCTTGGACTTGATGATTTTCATGTGAGAGAAAGCTGACTCCAGAACTCTCCATCCATGTGACTTGTTGCTCTGGATTTGATCCCAATGTCATTTTGCAGAGTCAAAACCTCATTTTTAACACCAGAGCAGTCCAGACTGAAACACGGACACGAATTTGGACACATCCATCCATCCTGGTGGACAACTGAACGATACAATCTCACTTTTATTTTTAAAATCATGAAATAGCGCATCTGCAGCCCCAATAAACGCTTCTTTCATGACTTCTCCATCGCTGAAAGACTTCTTATGTTGAGACAGAATGCAGCTAACACAGTATGAGGCTATTGTAGCAGCCTTACCTTTTGTGCAGGGCCGAGTGAAAATCGATTGCTGGGCTGCCAGCTTCCTTTTTAGCTCCCGCCCTTGAGTCCGTAATGAACAGCAGGTAGTTCCTGAAACACCCCGAGCTCCTGGGGAAACCCCTCCCGCTGCATACGTCACTGCGTGGGATTCCTTCCCGGGGGAGTCCAATGCAGGAGAAAAAAAAAAGTCTGTGGTGCGTTGTTTATCCTGAAACTGGTCCCAGTTTCAGCTCCAAAGTTTTTATCAGTCAGATTCCACTGTGAAAAATGTCTGTTTTATCCCCATTCATGAGTTTTTGGCCATTGACTATCTTTAAAAATAGCTGCTTCCTGGTACAGCAGTCGGCTCTGGAAGCGATCGCTTTTTTCTTCCATTATTTTTTTTTTTTTTTGAAGCGAGTGGTTGAAGCAAATGCAGCGTCTGCTATCAGCACAGACAAAAACACTCCCACGAACTAGGGAAATTCGTCTCATAACGTTTGTGCATCATCTTGAAATGTCGCTCCAAGTTACACTTTTTGGGTAAGGCAACGCTCGAATTACAGATGAGGCAAATAGAGGCAAATAGGCTTCGAATTAGAATAAACACAAAAATACTCCTCCTCCCACTCTGTGTGAAAATAAGTTTTCATTTGCTTGTTCGCTAGTTTTCCAACCATGTTTTCTCTGCATCGAAAACTTCACCACTGAACCTAAAGTCTCGTCAGAGCGCTGTCACCGCACCCAAAACTCGCGAGACAAAATCTGTGAAAATGCAAGAGGGGGAGGGCGTAGGGAGCGCATTGCTGCGCATTGGAATGTGTTACTTAAACTCTCCCCACCTCCACCGCTTCTGCCGGAGTTAGAATGAAGCTACCCCACCACCACCACCACCACCACCTCCACCACTTCTGCTGGAGCTAGAATGAAGTTACTCCCCCCACCTCCACCGCTTCTGTCGGAGTTAAAATGAAGCTTAGTGAGCGGACATGTCACCTTGCTAACAGCTGACTCGCAAGGTTGCGCTTCGCGGGCACTTGGGAATCAGCTGGCAGGCACCGAGTCGCCCGCGAGCGACGGGCTGGGCACGCCTGTTGTAGACCATTAGGGAATACATTAAGCAAGTACTTTTACTTTTAATACTTTAAGTATTTTTAAAAGTAAGTACTTACTTACTTTTACTCAAGTAAAATGTTAATGTGGTACTTTTACTATTACTACAGTACATTCTAGTCTGTTTATCTGTACTTTTACTTAAGTACAATGTTTAAGTACTTTCTCCACCACTGCATTTAGTTAATGTTATCTGCCTCCAACAGAATTAGTCAACATTCAAGGTTTGTTTGGAAAAATTTACAAAGTTTTTGCTTTTGTTTCGCTGGTTTCTGACACCCTGCCGCTCTACTCAGCAGGAGGTCTACTCTCGTTGATTTACAGGTGTAGCGTCAGCATGCGCATGCTCATGGTGCATTTAAAGACGGCTCAGAAAAAATATGTTAGTCTTCAAATAATGATGGGAATAATAAAATCTGTAATTATAGATGCCATTTAAAGGCAATGACTCTAAACAAAAGCACTAAACTGGATTTTTTTAATGTCCTCTTTTATGATAATTTTATTATTGCTCTAGACAGCATGATTATACACGCTCTGTTGTTCTCTGATTTTACTGAATGCTGCTAAAGGCCTTCTGCAGGAACAAAACCATTTTATGCAGATACAGAGGGGATGGTTGTTTTCCTTTTGGTCTAGGAGTGGCAACATTTAACTTTTACTACAAAAACAAGAATAAACAAAGATGCAATTAATGTTCTTATAGACAGGGGCCCCCCAAAATTTTGTCTTTCTTTCTTTCTTTTTCTTTCTTTCATTATTATTATTTTTTTTGTGGTGGGCCCCTATCAGACAAAGGCCCTTGGAATTGTCCTAACTTTCCCCCCTATATGGCACCCCTGTTTCCAAGTTAAAATCACATTAGCTAAATAAAGCAGAAAATACCATCCTTAATGTCTATCAGGACTGATCCAATCGCCCCACCCTAACAAGTACTCACTGGTGATGTCCCAAGCAGAAGGATTGGATGTTGTATGGGGACCTGTGATGACTCACTCTGATCTTCTCATCAAGGTCAGCTGTAATGATGTAATTGTCATCTGGTGACATGGTCTAAAAGATCAGGGGAGAGGTAATCAGTTAGACACTTTTGTAGATGTGTGTGGAAGCCAGGAAGACACATACATGAGCACATTCCAGAGTGAGTGATGAAACAATACTCAGAGGACCTCAATCCCACCATCAATGCCTTCTATTTAGGAAACTGAGTCAGAGGACTTGGGGATGGCTAAAAACTGCAGCTGAGGTCGCCATAGAAGTGGCAGGGCTCCAGGGGTGGACAAAATCCACCCTGATTTACTTAATGCTGCGTTCACATCGAACACGATTTCAGCGTCAAAATCGCATCAAATGCTTCAAGTTGGACGCTTGTGCACTTTGAGGTCAGACTCGAGTCAAAATTGCTCTTGAAGCACTTGACGCATGTCTAGCGCGTCCAGAGCCTCCCCGCCCCCTCCCTCCTCTGCCAGTCTCTCCTTCTCTGTTGGTCTCTGTTTTAATGTCAGATGAAATAATGGAAGTGGCTTTGCTTTATTTACTGAGAGCAAGAGAACGTCATGCTCATCAGATAATTAATTCACCAGATAATTCAGAGATGTTTTGAGATTGGTGAGTTTCATCACCCAGGTGCTGCGAGCTGACCCGAGGCTCACAGCTCGCTTTCAGAACTATTTTTATCCCGAGTCCAGTTTGATGAGCTGCTGACCCGCATCTGTGCCGATCCCGATATCTCCTGCCAGGACACCGACTACAGGCACTCTATTTCAGCTAAAGAGCTCCTGTCCATCTGTCTCAGGTTAGTGGACATCATTCAGGAAACTGTCCCATTGGAAAATCTGTCACTACATCACACAGTGGAGTCTTCTCTGATTGGTTGACGCTCCGCGTCTAGCTGCACAAGTTCAGATTTTCCAACTCCAGCAATTTGTGCGTCCAATGTTCAAATCGCGCTAGACGTGCCGCAGCACTTCCTGACGCTGCTTGACAAGCGCCCACCATAGGTTTATACTTTGCAAGTAAACCTGATGCTCCTGATGCTGAAATCACGTTTGGTGTGAACACAGCATAAAGCATGTTGCTGGGCTGTCTTAGACTGACATGGACATGCCTTTGCAACATTGTGTGGACATCGGGAGAAGTGCCACTAGATTGGCAGACTGCTGAGGCGATTCCCTTCTTCAAGGGAGGATGGAAAGTGTGTTCCAATTACAAGGTAACAACACTCCTCAAACTCTATGGTAAGGTCTATTTAGGAGTTCTGGAAAACATTGTCCATTTGATGATCGAACCTCAGATTCAGGAGAAACAATGTGGATTTTGTTTACTAAGGTACACTGTGGGTCATATGGTAAATGGAATGAACTTATACAGCGCTTTATCAAGTCCCTCCGGACCCCAAAGCTTTCACCCATTCACACACACATTCACACAATGATGATGCTGCCCTGGGGCACACTGACAGAAGCAGCGCCACTGGACCCTCTGACCACCATCAGTAGGCAAGGCGGATGAAGTGTCTTGCCCAAGGACACCGACAGACAGCTGGAACGGGGGATTGAACCGGCGACCTTCCAGTTACAGGACGACTCCCCTAACCACTCTGCCAAAGACGCCCACAGGAAGCCCCGGTCAAACCCCCTTGTCTACGATCACGGTCAACCTCACAAATTAGGTTAGGTTATATACCCTATACCTTCTGTTACCACTAGTACCCAGTGGTGGACAGTAGTGGAGTACATTTACTTGAGTACTGTACTTAAGTACATTTTTTGAGTATCTTTACTTTACCTGAGTAATTATTTTTTGGGGTACTTATGACTTTCACTCCACTACATTTCAAAGACAGATATTGTACTTTTTACTCCACTACATTTCTAGGAAGCTTTTTGTTACTCGTTACTTTTGGTTCAGCATAGCTTTGTAATTAGCTTGGTTAAAACCATCCCCTTGTTCTTCGCTTTGCTTCGTACAGAGGGTCTGGACTCTCGGCTATTGAGAAGCGATTCTCGCTGGAGACGTGGTCTCTGTTGAAGTTTAAAATGATTGGATCGGCTGGCCGTAACGTATGTATACACCAGCTCCACTGTGGAGGAGGCTAAGCTAAGAAGCTAACTGGAAATTGTGTGCGCTTTAAACAACCCTACCAAGAAGAGAGAAGTACTGAGCCAAACGAGACAGCTGTAAATGAGAGCTGCAGGCTTTGTCAGACAATTTTTATTTAATTTGGAAGCCATATCAACATGGACTGGCTTCATTCACTTCCTCCACTGCCATTGCTAAACTAGCAGAAGAAAATCGAGGTTGTCGTTTAAAATTCCTCCTTCTGTTCACTGATTGGCTCAGGTAAAATTCTACCGAAGAAATCCTTGTCTATGGGAGAAATTCCAGACGGAGCAGAGAAGGGAAACTAGAATTGAGTGGAACTGCGTAGGAAGGCAAGGACCAGGCTACTTTGTTATCAGCTGTTGCTGTTTTTCTTTCTTGAAATGCAATTGGCCACACACTATGGCAAGGGGAACAAATAACAGTCATAGCTCACATCTAAGATAAATTTGGAATTACATCATCTTCATTAACGGTCGTGAGCGCAGATCCACCTTCATTTCAAACAGAATCCAGCAACAGACACGGTTGAAGAGAGTAGAGAAACCAGCGCACTCATGACCATATCTCAGCTCGATGTTTGAGATTTTAGAACGGAAAAATTATTTATTTATTTATTTTATTTTTATTTATTTACCGTTATTTTACCAAGAAAGTCCCATTGAGATCTCGGATATCTTTTTCAAGGGAGGCCTGGGCCTGAAAATTGTTTATATCCGTTTAAACGTCTTCTGTGTTCACTGCGGATAAACTACATTTGTGCATTTAAGAACTCACCACTCACTTTATTGCATTTTTATGCTGAAGTCTTTACAGGTGGTGTAGAATTTTTACCACAGTGGTTCTATATGTCGATACATCAGGTGGTTTCTGGGTTACAAGGCTCTGTAAAATCACTCTGAAAACAATACAGCAATGTACTGATGTTAGAAAATTTAATTTGTACTTTTGAATACTTGAGTACTTGTAAATGCATGTACTTTAGAGTATTTCAGTATTTTCAAAAGTAAGTACTTCAGTACTTTAACTTGAGTAGATTTTTAATGGAGTAACTTTTACTTGTAGTTGAGTAGATTTGACCCTGAGTATATACTTTTACTCAAGTACTAGAGTTGAGTACTTTGTCTACCACTGCTGGTACCTCAACCAGTGGTCAGCAACTGGCCCAAACCCTGAAAATGTGCTTCACAAATCTCCATCAGTGCGGGGTTCAGCTCTTTGGCAAATATCAGAATTTTCTACATATTAATATCACAACTGATCACCCTTTCTTGGCTGATTGGTGCTAAAAAAATAATCAAACGGAATTCCTGCTGCTATCACAAAAACTGTACAAGTTGGTTTGTTTTCTAAATGTCATGAAAAAAATTAGCTTTGATAGTAGGTCTTTATTTAAACAATAAAACACCAAAGCTATACTAATATTAAACTTTGCACGAACCTTCAGACATGTCCACTCTGTATTTATTCATGTATTCATACAATACGATCATAAATTATTTTTACCACAGCAAGCAGCATTGACAGGTGGCCCATCTTCAGCTCCCCCTCCCTCTGTGGCTCCACCACAGAAAAAGAGTACACATCTCCTGATTTATCAGCCACCAGCAGCTCATCTTCTGCGGGGTTGAATACCAGAGACGTGCACCGCCTGACCACCCACCTGTTGAAAACAAACAAAGTGTCTCAGCTGCAGCATGGCCCTTGTGTGTTTCAAGCAACAGCTGATCAGCACAAACTTCAGATCAGTCACACATTATGAAACAAATAATAATCAAAGACCTAGCATTTCTTGAAGGAATACAAACGTCTGGTTTGTAATGAGTGAAGAGCACATTAAAACTCAGCAACAAAGCAGTCACAGGATTGAACAATCTGTCAACGCCAAGATGCAAAAGAAGACATTCTGGCTTGAGTAATACCTGATGCTGATGCAGCACCATAAAGGCTCACATTCAAACAGAATCAGCCGTTTGGAGTCATCAGTTAATGCTACTAGTTTTTCTGATGGAGACACCACAAAGGAGATGACCTTGTCACTTCCTGTTTCCTCTGAGGGACCACCATCACTGATGACAAAAAAAGACAGTTGAGAATTACTCCAGTCTCACAGCCACTTATCCTCTGTTAATCTTAGTCTTTAGGCTTAATCTTAATCTCCTTAACTTATCTAAGCTCAAGTTTTTACCTGCTGTTGTCCTTCTTTAAACTTTTTGGGTTCTTCTCAGAACAGCTGCAATCAAACACGAACGGTTCTCTGCAAAACAAAATAAAAGAACATGGGAAATATTTTAGATGAATGAAACCTGAAAGGACCATCAGCCACTATATAATTTTACCCATCTCCATTCACCAACACAATACCTTTGGTATTGGTATTGGTGAATGGGGATGGGTAAAAACCCATGTTAGTGGGTGGGCCCATTACTCTCCCCAAAAAGACACTGAGCTTTAATCAAACCTTTGTGTCCCTCAGAAGAAGAGCACAAGGTTAGAAACACTCAGTGTTCAGGGGTCGGATTTATAAAACTTGCGTACGCACAATATGAGCCCAGAAACTTGTGTACGCCACTTTTCACACAAAGGTTGTGATTTCTAAAATTCAAACTTGATGTGAAAATGTACGGTGCCTCATGCCAGCTCTGACCCATGCGTACGCTCATTTTGGAGACGGGAAGCTGCGACACAGATGGTGAAGTGAGCAATTTAAGTCACACTGTGTAATGATCACTGTCAGATATTTCATTTCACTTCATAATCAGACTTAGATTTTTATTCAACTTTCTTAACAGTAATATTTATGCTTCTGCTGCTGAGCCAGAAGGACCTTTGAAATAAAAAAAACTTAAATCTTAAATAAAAATTCACGCAACTCATTAATTTATTTCCTCCTCCTCACGACCCTGACAAGAGACCTTTCAACAGCATGGCATCATGCTTTGGGTATGCACAGGGCGCGTCCACCCTCACCAGTGTGGATGTTGAT